ATAAATATTCATTTAACCTGCTGTAATTGCAACAGGTTAAACAATTAATCAGTTGGGCACAGGGACAGGGATGGGTGCAGCAGCGCTGGGCCCCAGTCCATGGCTCTGCGAAGTTGGGGGTGGAGAGGGTGCTGAGCTCTGGGCCAGCACCTGCCCTGTCCTCCTACCCTGTCATGCCAGAGGGGCTGCACCCACCCACCCCGAGCAGCATGGGGAGCCAGGGGCCAAAGCATCCCTGCCAGGCAGGCAGCACAGCCCAGGAACCCCGGGAGTGCAGCAGCCAGTGAGAGGCTGCAACCACCACCAGCTGCAGCAGCACGGAAAGGAGTAGAGATGGGAGAGGCAGGCAGGAACCAGTCAGGGGCTTTACTAGCCCACGGGAGCGAGAGGGAGGGAGCATGCAACCCCTCCCCTCCCTTTAGGTATTAGTCAGCCCTCTTCTCTCCCTCCCTTCTGCCCAGCCACCTCCCAGTTCTTGCTGGGGCACCTTAAGGCTTCCTTCCCGCCCCCGCCTCCCTCTTCCCTCCTGGAGTGCACGGCCCCAAGCTAAACAATAACGGGTAAGTTAGATCCTATCACTGAGCTGATCGGTTAAACAATTAATTGTTTAATTGTTCAGATCCCTAGCCCCATGGTTGCCACCTTTCAAAGGACCCAGTCCTTGCCAGATCGAACAGATTACAACACATGTAGAGTTTCTAGGCCCCTGGGTCTTTGGTGTATGAGTTGTCAGAAACCCTTCAGACAGTTTTCAAAGGAAATGGCCTTCCTATGAAACCTGTCATGTCTCCCAAATGCTGGCTTTGCTTTTTCCCTGTTAATGCTGGGGTTTCTGCATGGGAGGAGCAGATTTACACGAGGGGATTCGCTGGTGCTCCCTTTCCACAAGTGGATGGGATAGTCAGATTCATCTTAACTTCCTGCTGCCTTGGCCATCCTAGCTTTCAGGCAGCACGCAGTGCCACCCACTTCTGCAGAGGGAGGATGGATCTTAACCAGAGTTCTTCTGGGTAGACTGTGCGCTAGCAGGCTCGCAGCATCCTGTGGGCAGAGGCTGTATAACTCCAGAACGAACCTAATATCTTGTCCACTTCACTGCAACTGTAAAAGAACTGTAGCATCACACGGTGTTTTGGAACAAGTTGTTTCCATTTGGTGAAGTTGGGCTTCTAATGAACATGAGGTTACATATGCCAGCTATCTCTAAGCCTAGTACTAATCACATTTGGGCCCTAATCTTGAAATATTTAAATACGCTTTGCTTGTTTATTTAAATACGTAAGCATGTTTTTAAATGTGTTTATGTAACTCAATAGGTCCCCTTCTGTTCCTGGTCTACAGACCATAGGAGTCTGGGACAGACCCAGCTAGCTTATGCTCACCTGTTGCAGTCTGTTAGCTCTGGAGGTCCCTGGCCCAAACCCCAGTGTGCAGCTCAGATGCCTTATGTAATAGGCAGAATAAAATACATTTTAAATTTTATTCCTTTACATTTTGTGCAAGTGCCAGGCTGTGCTTATCTGAAACCCTTTTATCTGTTTAATGCACATGAAGATTTCTCACCCTTGTATGTACATGCACATGAAGATTTCTAACCCCTATTCATCTTGACTAGGCCATGACCCTTGGAAATGACTCATAGACCGTTGCCATCTGAAACTGAAAGAACTGCGTTCAGTCTGAATATACACAAGGTTTACTTCTGTATTATCCAGCCAAGCTAGGTTGCCTCAGATCTGTGGTATTTCATGCATTAAAACAACACAGGTGTCCTCAGATGATAGGAATAACTGACACATACTATCTGAGAGTTGCACAGGAAGTGTTTTTCATTCAGGCTCAGTGCCTTCACTGTAACAAACCACAAATGGCTGTATTTCAAGATGTGTTTACTGGTGTTTCTAATGGAGGAACACAGCAGACTTATGATGAAATGGTGTTATCCCTGCTGCCAAAGTACTGTAGTTAAACATAATATAAAACTTTGCTGGTTTGTCTGTAATAAGAGGAGAAAGAAGTGTCAGGCATTTGTTTAGTTCAGTCCTATTCATTTACAATAAATAAACACGAAGACCTGTTTCCCAGATCAAAGTACACCAGTAGCCAATGGCATTGCTCTTTGCCCAGTTTCCAGCATCCTCTGCTGTTTGTTTTATGCCCCAAGAATCTCTGTTCTGTTACTGTCCCTCACAAGTCTTGTCTCCTACTTTTCACTGACTTTTCTTGTGTTTTTTGCTTTTGTGCCCTGTCCCCTCTACAGATTTGCAATCATACAATATCCTAGGGCTTGTCTTGCAGTCCCAGGAAAATGTTGTTGCATAATATGTTGCAGTTATTCTCAATCAGGGTGCTATAAGAACCTTTAAAGGATGCTGCTCAATAGTAGTACTGTTCAGTGTGCAGACTCTTATACATGTCACAAGATAAACCCAGAGATTTCCCATACAAAGTCATAGTGCAAACATTCTGGAATCTGTTGTGGGGTTTCTGAGTAACAGAAGACTTCTATTATATTTTTGTAGTCAAAAAATAATCGAAAGCTAAGGGCTGGCACTTTTAAGGGGTTCTTGAGTCTAGCAAGGGGTGCCTCAAGTCTAAAAAGGTTGAGAACTACAGACTAACTGTGCAGTTGGTCTAATAAAAGATATCGGATATACCCAACGAACCTTGTCTGCCTATGGCCTTAGACCAATACAGCTACAACCTACACCGCTGAGAACCAGAGATGCATCGCATAGTTTCTGACCTGCTGTTCCCTTGATTTCCTACTGTTTTCCTCTATGAGTACATGAAATGTCTTAATTGGTCTTTCAGTTTATAAAGATAAAACTAAAGGAGACCTTCTGGGCAGTGAGCTCTACTATATTCTAGGTACTTTAACAGCATCTGAGAAAAGGGTGGTTGGCATACCTATCAACTTTGAAAAAATCTGTTCTTGTCTGTAGGTCAGAGACCTCTTTGGTGAGATCCATTAATACCTCCCAGCACAACAAAAACTTCAGTCGATCAGATAATGAGCATTTATTTATGTAGGCAGATTATTGGTCTTAGTGCAAAGAACACACAATTGCAATTGCATAGAATTGGTTAACATAAAGATTGTGATTAGCAGAGACAAAGAAAAATCTGAATTAACTGCTAAAAAATTAAATGTGTTCTTGGACTGCCAGGGAAAATAGAGTTCTCTGCAAAGTCTGTCCCAGACAAGTATCCCACTGAAACCCTTAGGTTAGGAGGTTTTGCAAGATTGGATCCTTCTCAGGAAAGATTTTAACTCAATTCCCATTCTGCTGTAAATACAGGCAGTCTGTAGAATTGCAGCCTTTTTGTAAACAAAGTATTAAATGTCCCATCTACTGTATTTCTCTTATTGTAATATCAGTGACTTGAAATGGGAACTAGTTAACATTCACATGTAATCTGCAAACCTCATAATTCTGAGAACTTCATTAGGAAGTAAGACTCCTAAAATGAGGTTTCATAATTGCTAAGACTTGTAAGGTCTTGTGAGGATCTCTGATTGTCTGATGTGGAGGGGAGCATTTGCTTCCGTGCTAGTGTGGAAGAAATCAAACTTCGCGTTGTGTTTTGGAATAGAATTAATAGACCCAGTCTGAATTTATTGGAGCTCATACAAGGGATCACAGGGAGGGTTCTAAACAGAACTCCTCCCTTCTACAAGTTAACATACCTTTTTATACTTAAAACTGTGAATATAGACACATGATTAAAACAAAGCAACCTTGAAAGAGAGTCAAAGGTAAATCATTTGGTTGTTACACATAACAGTTGCTTGCTCAGCAACATATTTTGTTTTAAAAACTATTATCATCTTTTTGTTTTTAGGATAGGAAGAAACATTTGTTTCCAAAGAACTGTAAAAGACATAATAAAGCAGAAGGGTTTTTTTATTTTAAAATATTCTTAAACATCAGCATCTTTTTCAATTTTTTTTCTTCACTCTCTTTTCCTTAGTCAAGTTAAAAGCCTAAATAAATTTATTTTAACAACAGCATTAACTTTCAAGAGATGGATAAGGCAGGGAATATGAGGAAGGAACAGCCTGAAACACTGAATCGACAGAACATCACCAGCACTCGTGCAGGGGGAACAAGATAAGAACTGCTGATGGAAACCTGAAAGTTAGGGCTGAATGGACAGCAATGGGAAGCAGAATTGGGAAAGCAGAAGTAGTAAAAGGATGAGAGATGAAAGAAAGAGAATATTGGGAGAAAAAAGAACTGGGGGGAGAGGAAGAAGAGAGAAACCAAAAGAATGAGACGAAGGAAGGAAAAAATGGCGAACGCCTGGTCACATTGCATGTATTGATCTACTGGCAAATCCTTTTAATGTAGATGCAGCGTATGCAGCACAAGCAAAACCGTGCATCTCCCAGGATAAGAGTATCATTTAAAAAAGCATCCATAAATAACATTACTGTAGTGGCAAAAGCCATTAGTGTAGACCTGGTCTGTAACAAAAAAAAAAACGGGAGGAGAGGGGAGAATGAACAGGAAAGGAACAGGGAGAGAAAATAAGAATGGAAGAGTGGAAAATAAGAATGGAAAAGTGAAGGCAAAGCCTTCTGGCTTTGCCTTCACTTTTCCATTCTTATTTTTGCAAACCTGATTTAAAAAAAATACAAAACCAAGACAAAACCAGCAAAAGATTCACCAGTGCATCAGCTATGACACAACATGAAAGGATGAGGGGAAGCCAGGGGAAGTGACTGTTAAGGTCTCCAACCCACAAAGTTTGGGGATCACTGCCGCTGGGGATCCAAATGTGGCACTGATCCTGTTGCAGTAGAAATCCGTGGAAAAATTACCACCAACTGCAGGGGGAAAGAGGGCTTTTTACTCTGATTGTAGCCATGGCTGGCAGTTATATGGATGTTTTGAGGAAAGGCTTGTTTAGTTTCAAGCCAAAGTGGTAGGTTTTAAACACAGATAGGTCAATTTTTCACCATTTTTTGTTTTTTGTTTTGTTTTTTTAATAAGATACTGGAGGATCCAGTCCAGGCAATGAACCCCATTCACTTGAACCTCTATCAGCCACAACCCCCCATTCTTCGACAACAGGTGAGTGTCTGATAACTCATTACTTCCTGCAACTCTGTACACAAGCACAAAAATTATCAAACAGAAAAATCAAACAAATCTCCAGAAAAGCAGAGGTAAAAGAAGTATGTGTGAAAGGAGCATTAACATCTTCTAACATGGGAAGACAACATTAAAGACCTTCCAAGTAAGATTATATTGTTGCTAAAATTAAAGATGCTGCTGCTCCCTGTATCTTCCTGGCCAGAAGATCTGACTTCCCCAATGCTGTACTAAGAGATATCAGAAATGCAAACCCTAAAGCATCTTAAGTTACTCCTCAGTCTTTTTTGCACATTAGCAAACGGTACTCTGTTGTGGTTGAATGAAACTGGATAGCAGTGGATGTTTGATTCTTAATACTCAACATAGCCTTAGGAATGTGAATCAGCATCACAGGAAATGGATAATGCTGGATGGATAGTGCTCCATGATAGTATTTCCCATTGTAATGTGGTCAGTGTCCACATACCCTGTATCAGAAGATGGTACAATCCTATAAAAGGGACTTGTTTTCATGCAATGTTGTTAACTTCCTTCTTCCGGACTTTGGAGGCAAATTAATCTTTATAAGTGATTCAGACTGTAGGGTACTGTGATCAGAGTAGTAGGAAGATTCTTACTTGGTGATGTATATAGGAAGAAAAATCAATGTATGTAAGTATAATTGACAGGTTCAGGTTCCAGGGATGGCGATGACGCCCCCTGGTGGCCACACAATCCCTGCCATGGCTCTAGCCTGTAGCCCTTTTGATATTATTATTTCATTTGGATGGAGACTGCTTAAGGGTCCTAGTGTAAGCCTGCAATCATTTCCATGTCAGGGCTGTGGCCTTCTTCCCTTTTTCTCTTGCTGAGCCCTCTAGCTCCAGTCCACTGGGTCCCCAGCTTTTTATCTGGCCCTCCAAGGCCTCTGTCTCTGCCCCTACTCGGGCTACTAGGCCTCTGGCCCCAGCCTCTGGCCTGCTCTGGGCCCTCTAGCCCCCAGTCTGTGCTTTGGCATGAATGGGATCGCCCTCGTGGTCTCTTTGGGATTGCCCCTATGGGCATCCGCTGTGCACCCCTCCCAAGCGCTATGGGACCCTGCAGTCCTACCCAAACCAACAGACCTTCCTTTGAATATCTAGTCCCTATTGAGCCTGTCCCAGCTGACCACAGGCTCTCTTCCCCTGGCCCTCTCCTAGACTGATGACCTGGATATGGTCACTTGCTGCTGCTTTTGACTGTCAGCCTCTGCAGCTTTCCTTTTTATGTGCGCCTTCGACTCCAGGTGCCCATTGATGCTGCAACCTCTAGTCACATCCAGAGTCAGGTTGCAGGTCGTGTTCATGCTTGCTCTTTGTCAGGCAGAAGCAAGTAGGTGCGCTGCAGCAGTGTCCCTGCAAGCATTTTTAAAGCCCTCTGGGCTTCCCAGACCAGCTCCTGGACTGACTGGACATCAGGGGCTTAGCTTCTCTGACTTACTCTGCTCTGGCTGTCATCCTGCCCCTGCCCCCTTTCAAGGGAAGGGGACTTCAGGTGGGCTTTTCCTTGCTCCCTGCTTCCCCTTCTGGACTTAGAGATGGCAACTTTTCCCACCTCTCTCTTCCCCCTGCTTCAGGAGGCAGGCAGTCTGCCTTTTTTTTTTCTCCTTGCTCCCTTCCCCCCTCTCCCAACCTTCTAGGACAGTGGTCTCCAAAGTGGGGGTGCACGCGCACCCCAGGGGGTGCACAATACGATCCATTGGGGTGCGGGAAGAAAATATTAGAACTTCTATTTCTATTTATATAAATATACGTATATTGGGGGTGCGTGCTCAAAAATTTTTTACTGATGGGGTGCGCAATCAAAAATGTTTGGAGATCACTGTTTTAGGAAACAGCTTTTTGCCAGCCCTTTGCCAGCTTTTTTTAACATAGCTGGTTTCCCACACTTTTTCACAGGGCACCGGCTATTTCACAGGAGACTGCCAATTACACGATTTCCGTGAAACTGTGTATTTAGTAGATCGCTAGTTATAGCATAAAGAAAGGACAAAATGTCTTTAAGTATATGTATGTTTCTTATGTACCCTACCTGTTTGATTAACACAATCCATTCTAGGTATTTAATCTTTAAGTGTTAACAGTATAACCTTCTCATAAACAGCAGAAGAATTAGGATGCATCTTATAAAAAGAGAACAGAAGTGCATGATTCTTAGCTCCATTATTAGTAATTATCTATTTCATGTAAAAAGATAAAATAATAGAGTCTAGGTTTGATTATGCATATTGGAGTACAATAGAGTTAAATAATGAGCATAGCAGAAAGGTAAAGAGGTAGATGCTTTTCTTCTGATCTTTCAACTTAAATTTGTTAGTAAAATATTAAGGATAAGATTATTCCAAGTCATAAAATATTATATGCTGGACTGGACTCCTATCAAATAAATCCCAGTGGCACAAGACAGCCCCGTACTGGAATACATAGGTGCTGCACTAAGGGTGCAAGTGCACAGCTCAGTTACTTTGAAGTATATTGACATTCCTCCAGACTAACAATAGAGGAGACAGACAAGATGTAGTCTTATAATGGTGTAAATTACTCATTATTTGGGGATAGTGAAACCTTCAGAAAACGAATAACAGTATGCTGGTGTGTTGGTTTTGTGGATCTACTCTAGCTGGTTTCAACCTTGGGTAACTGTTTGCTTAGTGCAGGCCAGCTCCCCTGTTACCTAGTAGCTTGTCATGTGAGCCAGACATGTGCTCCTTAACACAGAGCAAACATACTGTGGAGTAAAATCCAAGGTAAATTACTCCATAGTAATCTTTTATGTCCCTGCTCTGAGGCACATTGTGCACACTAGCTCTGAACTGGAAGAAATGTAGCCACAGAAATGTCAATACTGCACAGTTGTTATACTAGATATTACCTCTCAGGCCGCTGACGGATATTCGTTTAAAGGTATGGTGGGATCTGATCCCAGCACTCATGCCTCCTGCCATGCCACACCTGCATGACAGAATGCACAGTTTTGGGATTGGGAATCAATTACATCCTACTTACCAGTGCAGGGGGAGCCTGGGCTGATGCATGGCAACCCTTGCACCATTAAGTTGACACCATCAAGTCAGCTGATTGTCAGCTGGTTCTGGGACCACACGGGGGCTTGAACCAGCCTCAGTGCAGTCCCCCAAGACGGATGACAATCAGTTGATCATCAGCTAAACTGGGACCACACTGAGGTTCCAGCCACTCATGGAGCAATCCCAATAACTGGCCAACAATCAGCTGATCATGAGCTGGATCAGAAGTGCATCAGGACTCCAGCTGACTACGGAGTGGTCTCCAGGACCAGCCAACCAGCGGCTGACAGTCAGCCAGCTCTAGGAACCACCACACCGCAGCTGGTAGGCTGCTTGGTGCAGTCCTGATCCAGCAGATGATCAGCTGAACGTCAGCTGCCAGGTACTGCACTGGGGCCGATTCAAGCCCCAGTGTAGTCCTGGATCCAGTCAACTATCAGCTGACTGTCAGGCACACAACTTCAACTTGATGGTGCAGAGGGAGTCCAGGATCAAGATCCCAGGCTGTCTCTGCCTTGGCAAGTAGGGCACAATTTTCAGCTGACGGAGACTGCCCTAGGGCTGATTGGAGACTCCAGTGTCATCCTAACTGTGTCACACGCTCAATTTAAAGTATGATGGAAACCAGCCACAAAAATATTGCACATTTTTGTGTAAGAATGTTGTGGCTGGTTTCCATTTCTGTGGCATCATTTAAGTGCCTGAATGTGTTGGTAGGTTACTATTTAAAATACGATTTAAAAACTGACTGATCACATCTTAAGTGTAACATCTGCCAAGGGCCTCAGTGCCTTCTCTGTGGTGTTTCTCAGTGCAGTGCTGCCCAGCAAAACATAGACATACCAGTTGATTTCTTCCCTTTTGAGCCTTTGAAAGCCACTCCCTAAAGTTTTGAAATTATTGAAACTAAATAAACAGCAAAAGGCTTTGTTATGAAAAATACACTATAGAAAAAGCTCATTGTGATAGGAAGCACCTTAGTCTTGATAGTGGTGTAAGTTAAAAAGCCATTAGTTCAGTAGTGGAAATCAGAGTGCAAACAATGTGGAAATCTACCAAAACCTTTCTGGGTAAGAACGCAGATGTTTTTGTGCTGACTCATGGTTTGTATGTTGTTGTTCAGTGTGTCCATTTCTGGCATGAGAACCAGATTTGTGTGATCACATACAATTATATTACATTCTCATCCACATTAGTCAATTTAATGTGTTTGTAAATTTTGGAGTTTTTTAAATCCTATGATTTGAAACCCTTGTGCACTATAATTCTAGTAGGACATTAAGCAACGTTGTGGATCTCTATGTCTGCAGATCTAAAAGAAATTAGAAGCTTCATAACTGGAAGATACTTAATAATTGGAAGCTTTGACCCTGTCAACCCCAGAATTCAGTGAAGATGATGTCAACTGACCTTAAAGTGACTTTGTGGCTTCTTAAGAAAGACATTTTACAGATTCAGCCAGCTCTTTACTCTGGGATTTAGAGTTCAAGAGTCCAGGCTTGAACAAGTGCAAATATTGGATACCTAAGTAGAGTTTACACATGGGGGGGATACATTCTGGGGAAATTGGGCAAAGATTTGTAATCTGAGTCTAAGAAAATTAGCAAGGATGCGCTATATTCTAATAGAAGTATGTCCACTAACTTTGGTGAGCTTTGAAGTGGAACATTAGGGCACAAAGAGCTCCAGTGTCTGTTACTGGGATTTGAAAAAGACATGAAATGTGGATTATATCCTGGTATTTCATCATTGATTAATTTATCTGGCAGAAGGAACTGCAGCCAGGCACTCTGCCATCTGCAAGTCAAAACAAAATGGAAGAAACAGATAGTTGATGCTCTTTCAGTACACATTAGTGCGAAAAAAGTTGACTCGTATATTTAAGCATTCCTGTATTTGGACTTACATATTTAATTTTTTCTTCTGTTTCAGCAAAAAATGTTAATCGGACAACCTCATTGGGTAAGTATAACATTTTAAATCCTAGAAATCCTTTCTAGTTACACTTTTAGCTCTTCAAACTAGTCAAGCTTTTTATACATTGATAATTTTGCTTTTATTAAAGAAGTATATTGTTGATCTGGTCAGCATTTGTGTGTTGTGCTTTCAGTTTCACAGAACTAATACTAAGACTTCTTGTCCCTTTTTCTTTATATTCTGTATGGTTGATTTTATTACTATTTTGGTTTAATGTGTAAAATATGATTTATTCCATTTCATGACTGTGTTCATTGTCCTAGGTGAAAGATGATACAGTATTGTTAAAACAGCTGCAAGTTGATCCCCTGTAGTCTAAATTGAGTTCTAGGTTGTCTGCCTCCCTCCGTCAGTTGCTTACAGTTTTCTCCAACTATTTCCTGAGATGGGCTTTTGAATTAAACCAACTAAGTTGTTTTTGAGTTGTTCATGGGGGAAAAAAACAATCTACTCTTCCTTGTACGTGCTGCTGAAACATTTTGTATAAAAATGGTTCAAATGCCTCCAACTACAGACTTCAGACTCCAGTTGCTTTTACCTCTGTATGTCACTGAATAAAGAATAAGCCAAGTTTCCAGGGAATGGCTGAATAGTTTAAAGTTGTGTGTTTTCAAGTCAGAGGTGTCATGCCCTCAGACATCTATCTGGGATTGTTTAGTTATGTCTCTGCAGGGCGCTGGACTAGATGACTTTTGAGGTCCCTTCCAACCCAATGATTTTATGATTTGACAATAGAATTTAGCTGTATGTGGTGGTGGTTGCTGGTGGTTAAGCTGTGTATGGCATTCCAGCTTTTATGATATATTGTATTAGCAAAATGCCTGTCATGAATGACCAGGGGAGTGGGAGGGGGACAAAGCGGGGATAAAGACCTGTGTCCGGCCCCGTGCTGTCCCCCCGGCACTGTGGGTCTAGTCCCACTCCACGCAGGGGGCGGGGGTTGGTGCATGGCTGCAGGGCATGGCACAGGGAGCGGCTGTGGCACGGGGAGTGCTCACTGGCTGGCTGTGTGGTGTGAGAAGCAGCCCCGGGGTGTGGCGCAGGCCCCACACGCCCCATGGGTGCAGCGGGGAGTGTGGTGCATGGACGCACAGGGTGGGGCGTGGTGCATGGGGGGGGCATGTGGCACACTGCCACAGAGTCCCGCATGAGAAGTGGGCGCGGCAGGTGCACCCCGCCTCGCAGCCATGTGCTGCAGCTGGCAGGTTCTGCCCGCGCACCCCGCATCTGTTCCCTGCGTGGCACCCAGCAGCTGCGCGCCAGCCCCGCTCCCCATCCCATGCTACATGCCACAGTTTCATAGTTTCATAGTTTGTACGGTTGGAAGGGACCTGAGCAGATCATTGAGTCCGACCCCCTGCCATGGCATGCCCCCCACACAGCCACGCACCATGCCCCCAACAGGGCCGCAAGCTATGCCCCCCTTTTTGCATCTTCCCTCTCCCCCGCGTGGCAGAGCACACCCTGGCCTCACTGCCTCAGCCTCCGCCTGTATGTCTATCTGTGAGTAAAGTTCTGAGCGGCACATGCACAGTTGGCCCAGAGCGTAACAGACAGACAGACACACAGCCAGAAGTGCTATGGCTTTTATTATATTAGAATTGTTTAACATGTCACATAACAATGTAAAGAGAGAGGCCCTATTTTTAGGCACAGACATAAGGAAAGAGAATAAAAGTTTAGGATTGCTCCCTTTTAAGGAATTTGGAATAAAAATTTACGATTAAAACCCTAACAGTT